AGAACGGATTGTATAAACTCTCAATAGATTCAAAATCTTTTGTAGGTATGCTACTAGTATAGTTTGACACCTCATCTCGGATTTAAGAATATAAACAGAGAAAGAATGTCCCTAGATGACGGACAAAAAATAAAAAAAATATTTCAGGCAAAATATAATATGACATGTTATCGTACGGCCTCATGGATGTTATCGTACGGCCTCATGGACTATCAACTCGTAGTCCACTCGACCTCGTGTTGTAATACTCCATTTTCGAACTGAACGCGAAGAACCGTTGTTTTGTTTGAAAGCAGACTCTGTTGCGAAATGAGCCTGCCAAAAACAAACAAACCAAAAAAGAAATTGTTGCAAGTACAAGAGCCCTAGCAATTTGCATTTTCCACGAGCTGAGGCTAGCCCAGAATTCCCAGAAGGCTTAAAAAGTATGCTATTAAGGAATACAGAGTTAGTCTCAATTTGGCGAAAATGAAAACTTTCAAGGCAATTTTAAAAACAAGATTAAAACTTGGCTTTTTAAGAAAGCCTTTTCACTTAAATAGTTCTGTATTTTTAATGTTAAATAATTATTATATTGTATTAGTGTTTTATGCAAAATATAAAAAAAGTATGTGATTTTGAAATTTTATTTTACAAATAAACATTTATATCTTTTTTCATAAATTTTTATAACTATTTTTATAAATTTTGTAAAGCGCATCAGAACTTCATTGATATTTTGCGCTATATAAATACTATTTATTATTATTATTATTATTATTATTATTTTTTTTTTTTCGTGCTTTCGTTTTGTAAGATCTTCGCGGAAAAGAATCTGTTGTCAAAATAAACATCGGTTATTCGCTTTTTATTCCAAAATGGAGCATTGTTAAATATATTCTGAAGTCTTTTTACTTCGCTTTGCAGTATGTTCTCAAACACCCTGTGTTTGCCGATTTAAGAGAAACCAAGAGATATACAAACTCAATCTGTCCAGAAAACCCAAGTGAGTCTCTATAGAGATAATACAATGAATAATCAATGCTGTCTACTAGCGCCTGATACGGCCGCCATCTTGAATTTAACTGGCTTCATCGTCGTTCAAAAACCTTTTCAATCTTTTGTTTTTTTTATCAAAAATATGCTTTCTGATTGGGTCAGCAAAAAAATGGCGAATTTTCGCGTCCGCGAAAATTGGGCAAGGGTTCCTTGGTAAACATAGGCCTTTTCTACGAAATTAAGAGACGTACAACGTCATTTAATGCGATGAAATACGAGTAGAACCTAAGTATAATTCAAAACGGCGAACGTATCGGCTAATAGAGTTAAAAGATAAAACAACTGTATGTATCTAGAGTGCAAACACTAAAGCGTGAAAAAGTACTAGAGTGAAGTCAAAAATGTCGTGAAATAGATATTATAATAATAGACCTTAGTACGCTCTAATTGTCATTGTTTTCATTTCAAACTTTTTAAACAGTCAAATTTTGTTAACGGGATTTATGAGCTTCGCCGTGTAGATTAGACAATAGAAAATAAAAGAGTTCACATATTTCAATACAATTTTGGACTATTTACATACTGAACTTTTCTGGGTTTTAGTGTTTCTACTCTAAAATGTTAATTATTGAGTCTCACTGTGCACAACCTTTGAATTAACGTCGTCTTTGCTGTGTCAAACCCATGATGTTATAGCATCAAGCTCTATAATAGGAATACATATCGTGCCGTTCAATTACAGACATATGAGGAATTAAATAATCAACTGCTCCCTGTAGGGGAGGGGGCGGGTTACTGCTCCCGATGATATCTTTTCGTTAAGATCTTTTATCAAAAAAATCTCATAACGAATTTTCTGAGAATAGTCTTCTTCACGGTTCCTTGCGCCATCTTGAAACGTAGCCGTGGCTTTGCATCGAAGCGAGACGACCGTTGAGCGTGCAATGATAGAAACCTTCTTTCACACCTACAGACAACTATTCACAGGTTTCTATCATTGCACGCTCAACGGTTGTCTCGCTTCGATGCAATGAAGATATTAATTATTAATCGTTTCAGATTCTCTGGTTTTAATCAAAAAGATGATCGATCAAATTCTACAACTGCATCCTGGATCATCATGGCTGCATGTTGGAGGTGATGAGGTAAATAATAATAATAATCTTTATTGAGGAAACTTTTTCATTTACCTCCTAAAGTCAAAGCGTCACACTGTCATAGAACAAATTTCCAAAAAAATCTTCAAAAACAATTCAAACTGTCTGTTAATTTTCAAACAATTTAAGTCTCATTATCAAATTAAATGTTTACAATGATATTGCTGTAAAGGATAAGCAAAATCATTAGTTTTGAGCTCAATTCGACACTCAAAGTTACTCTTCGCCATGTCGATGCCCCAGATTAGGGCACCGTTAAGGCGTTTTCATATATTTCTATGTTAGGTAAGATCGTATTCATACGATTTTTGCTCTTTTAGCTTTTTTGGACTATAACGTGATCAGTTAAACCCAAGAATACTTACAGTGAGAAATTAAAAAAAAAGATCAACTTGTAAACCTCATGAATAATTAATGAGCAAACACAATTGAAACCACAACCGTGAAGAGTGTTGTAATACAAAACTGTCTTGATTTGGATAAACTTCAAATCTAATTTTCTCAGCCAAATTCAATATTATCTTTAAGTTTTTAGTATATCATGAATGTATACACCTAAACGTTTCAAAAGTAATTTACAACATTCGCGTCCGTGTTGCTTTCGGCTCGAGATTTCAAAATCCCATACAACGCGGCCGTTCATGTTGTAAACATTACTTAAAACTGTTTGTTAACTTTCAAGGTCTGGAACCTCAAGACTTGTTCTAAATGTAAAAACAACAATGAGTCCAATTCCGACATTTTTCTTGGTCACATGATTCCAGTTTTAGAATACGTCAAGCAACACAGTAAAACACCTATCATGTGGGATGATATGATGAGAGACTGGGACCTAAACAAGCTGATCAGTAAGTAAACAAAGCATGATGGGAAATATAGCCTTTGCACTTATGTCCCCTATTTGGTCAATATTTTGTTTGCACGCTAAGAATTAGTGAATTACGCTAATTTATTTGTTTTCTACCTACAAAACATAAAAGGGATTTCCGCATTTGATTTCCATTGCTCTGAAATGTCCTTTATTTTGTCAATACTTTATTTGCACTCTTTTTGCACTCAAATAATTAGTGCTAAGAAATATTGAAATACGCTAATTTATTTGTTTTCTACCTTCAAAATATAAAACGGATTTCCGTGTTTGATACTCTGATTAAAACGAGTAGAATGTACGAAGAACACGAGAGAAACGTTTCCAGCTTCTCAAGTTTTTCTCCGTATTGTACAACCATCATTTTACAATGTCTAATCTACACTATTTTCTGCTATTTTAACATTGTTTGGTTAGTAATTTTCACTATTGTTTTGTTGATATTACCAGGAATGGGTCAATTGGCGGAGCCAATGTTATGGGGGTATCGAACTCCATTAAGTCAACATTTTCCTAAAGGTATCAGTTTACACTGAAACAAAATGCATGCTTTTAACTCTGTACAGTTCATGGAAATATCATGGAAATAACAAATCACACTAAAATATTTACACGCTACTTATATGTGGACACTTAATTTTTTTACATGAAATTTATATAGTGTGTGCATTTTCTGGAAATTTGATTTACATGACATTTTTAAATGTCTTCTTTAAAAAGAAGATTTACATGACATTTACAGAATATTTACATAACATTTACAGAATATTTACATGGCATTTACAGAATATTGACATGACATTTACAGAATATTGACATTACGTTTAAAGAATATTGACATGACATTTACAGAATATTTACATGGCATTTACAGAATATTTACATGACATTTACAGAATATTTACATGACATTTAAAGAATATTTACATGACATTTACAGAAGATTTACATGACATTTACAGAATATTTACATGGCATTTACAGAATATTTACATGACATTTACAGAATATTTACATGACATTTAAAGAATATTGACATGACATTTACAGAATATTTACATGAAATGTACAGTACTGAAAATGGTCAATTTTCCTCAGTGATACATCGAGTCTTGAGTCATAGTAAGATTTTCTTAATGATTGAGATTAAAGTTTTTATACTGAAGATTACATGGGGGAGCAACACTAAAACCAACAAAGAGAGAAACTCGATTTTTATCTTTATAATAAAATTAATATTTTACAATCATCAAATGACTTATTATCGTTAACAGACACATGGTCAAGATATAATACAGCATTTAAAAGAGTTTGGATGGCTAGTGCCTTTAAAGGTGGGTCTCCGGTCTCTGAGCCTGTATGCAAAAGTAAATTTTACCRGACTTTTGTTAAGTCTCGCGCGCTGATTGGCTGATAAGGGTGTGTCAATAACAGGACATGCACACTGTGCTGACAGCATCACGTCTCGCGCGCGCTCAGCTGAAAGAAATGAATGATATATTTTCTGACTTAAAACTGATAAATAGTCTATTAATAATTTATTAATCACCGTTTGTATAATCCAGGGGCGTTTAAATCCAATGCAGACTATGTCAAGATTGATGTTCGTGTTCAAAACAATCTCGACTGGGTTCACGCTGCTTCYAATCTTCCAAATGTGACCGTGGCGGGATTGGCCCTGACGGGATGGAGTAGGTATAGAACAGTTTTAGGACTACCCAATACAGCTCTTTTTAATAGGTTGTAAGAAAGAACCACAAAAGGAAATGGTTGGGTTCGGAGAGATCATGGATATCCAATATCGATGGATTCCACTGAGAGAACGGTACTAAAGTTCTCGAGCTACATCATGGGGAGTGGTGGAGAACCCTTACTTCAAGACTCCTTTAAAGTCCAACGTGGATCAGACAACTTTTGCGGTCGTTTACTTTAAGTTTACAACGGATCTATTATTGAGAGCTTCTTTTAAATTCGTTCAAAATCAAAGATGGTGATTTTTTTTTACAAGTGAGAAAATCGCGCAAAGTTTCTCGGACGTAAAGGGGTCTTTACGAATCTAACTAGACAAAAACTGTATTAATAGTCTCCTTCACGGATACCTGCGCCATCTTGAAAGGTAGGCGTGCCTTTGCACCGAAGCGAGACGACCGTTGAGCGTGCAATGATAGATACCTGTGAATAATTGTCTATAGGTGTGAAAGAAGGTTTCTATCATTGCACGCTCAACCGTTGTCTCGCCTCGATGACAAGGCACGGCTACCTTTCAAGATGGCGCAGGTAACCGTGAAGGAGACTATTGGTATTTATATATTAAGAACCTGTTCAGGCTTCGTCCTAAAAATGTAGTTTCTTATTTGTGGGTTTTTAATGTACATGTGTTTTCCAATAAGGTATGATTACTTTGGTTCATTATGTGAGCTTCTGCCAGCTGCAATCCCCTCTCTCGCTGTTTGTTTGACAGCTATCAGAAAAGGTAAGTCCACCCAATCAATGAACCTGATCAAAAGACCGTATGCATTGCATTACTTGACTATCACACTGGTGGAGTCTGTGCACGTTTTCATGAGAGCAAGAAGAGTTATCCTGAGCATTTTTTATTATTATTAGTAGTTGTGCCGTTTCTTTAAAGGGACACTGTCAATGGCACGCATGCGCGAGTAAACTTGAAAAGATTAGGCTAATGTTTTCAAGTTTACGACTCCAAGTTGGCGCGACG